TACACTTTACTGCATACACTGCATACAATGGTAATATTAATACTTTACTGCATACAATGGTAATATTAAACAATGGTATCATTGACAAGGTTAGATTTCACGACGACTTCAGCGTTAACTTTCGTATCTGAAAACCAATTTTTCCAATACGGTAGATTATCGTCTTACTTGACAGTAGCAAAGCGCACATCACCATAGGGAAGGATTTCTATTCCGATCTTTCCTTTTAAAAAATGAGAAAGCTATCCTATAAAACTGAGTATTGATTAGTGGCTCCAAGTAGCACTATTTATGGTCCGAAAGTTTTGAATGCATAGTTTTTAGCAAAAATAATCGTAAAAAATCTCGAAATGAACAAAGTTCGGCACATTGTACATCTAGAATCTTCTCTTTGAGCTGTCATTTTGCAGGTTCAAACTGAAGATTCTTAATTAGTCAGAGGAAACACCTGCCTTTCTTTTGCTTTTTTGATATTTGGATTGTAGCATCCAGCAAAAGTCGTATTCATCCGCCGGAAGAATAGTTCGATTTCCTGAATTTTTACTCCTGATTCTAAAGTATTTCTTCTAGTTTAATGAATTTGAGCAAAATTTAATCAGAAAATAGGTGATGCATCAACCTGCTGCTTTGGTAAACTTGTTTTTTCGATGTTTTCGCGATAGAAGTCCTTGATTTTATCAGTTAGCTCAAGTCTTCTTAATTTTTCCATTGCCCTGAAATGTTTTGTTTTTTTCCAGGAATTGTATATATGTCAATAAGTAATAGACGTAAAATCATTTCTCCTGTTATATAAATAGGTCTAAAGTAATTGCAGTAAGGTGTTGCAGTTATGTTGTTTTGGTACTTGTTTCTCTTTAGGCACTTCAGGTTTACTTGAATTTCAAAGATTTTGTTAAAATTGATTATGGAGTGGGGTAACCTTTTTTGTGCTTGGGTTAAGCTATGGATTATTTCTTTGAGAGCTCCGGGCACATCATTAGCATTATTCCATTTGTCATATTCCATGTACATCTCTAAGTCATCGTCTAGTTTATTTTTGATAAAATCATTAATAAGCATGGGTTCATTATCGGTGGCCTGCTGCAAGTGTTCTAATTCTGTCGCACCACAGCGATCTAGCACTGCTCGAACACATTTAGGCTCATTTGCATAACATTCAAATTTATCGTTCTTTCCACTGGAAAGAATGAAGTATGTCTTTTTGTTTGAGTATTGTATTGCAGTTAGTATTAGAACGATTGGAAATAAGACGAGCATATTTCTGGAAGTTCCAAGCAAAAAAGAAGCAAATTTGATTGTGGCATAGTTTTTTTTTTCTTTTAATTATTATTTGGCTAAAGAAGTCCTATCAAAGATCGAACCGCTGAATAGACTGAATACGATGATTAGTGAGTGGCACTATAAACTTCGTACTTTATTTCATTCTATGTACGAAGATGGAGATATGAGTCAAATTTGATGAGGGGAATCAGGAGGACATTAAATTAGATGAGACTGATGAGGGAGGCTTATGATTTACAGCACCGCCAAAGTGTACTGGTCGTAACTGAAACTCGCACTAGAGGCAAATGAATAGATTAGTGGTATTGCATGTTATTACGATTTAGTATTTGGGCCTATAAAGATTTAATATACTATTATTAGATGACACTTTTCTGTTCATTAGGTAGGTGAATTTTGAATGGATGTTCAGGAATAAAAATCACTTTTGTGATTGTTGCTATTATTGGGACGTTTTTTTTCTAATTGTTCCCCAGAATTTTTAAGCGAATTTCTAAAGTGACTTACTCAAACAGCTTCCTGATTATATTCCACAGCCAAATCAATATATTTTCTTCCGCTTTTTTCTGCGCACGTTTCTCGTTGTAATATTCTAGAATAGCATATTGGTCGATCTGTGGTAAATCTTGCTCAACTTTCGTATTCCACAGGGCACGAATAATGCTATATATAGTGGCATTCTGAAATTGAGATCATTGATTCAGTGTAAAACAGTATAGGGAAGTGTTAAGGCAATAAACAGGAATGATTAAAGAGTAAAAGTTTAGGAATTTAGAGACAGGGAAAAAATGATGAGATTTACCCGGTATGCTTCAGCATATTTAAATTGTTCTTGCGTAAAATTCAATGGTACAGTTGCGTTTAAGAAGACCTCGACAATGTCAGCACCAAAATTTTCCGGAACTCTTTGTGGAATATCTACGAAACTCTTCAGAGGTTTATCTTTTATTTGAAACAACTGCAAATTCAAATATGGAATTAATTTCTTGATTTGATTGCATCGACGATAATTTTGTAAAGGATTTTCTGGTTGTTTATATAGTTATACTGAAGCTAACCAACTATGAAATTTTTAAAACAACTTAAATAGCGAAAGGAAGGTGCCGAATTCTTAACTTTAGTAATACGCATACATCTTCATGATATGTAATTGAAGTAACTGTATTTGAAATATTTTTGCAGGTGTGTGTTTATATTAAGAAGGTTAGGGTTAACGAATTCTTTGTTAAAAATAACGAGAATTAAGGGATGAGGTACTTTTTCGTGGCGCAATTTGAAACAATAAATAATAGGAAGAAGGGATGGAAGTGCTTTTGCCGTGGCACAAGTTGGAACAAAGCAAAAGTAAAAGTAAAAGCCTTTCTTCTCCATCCTACTCTATGTAGTCTTAAAAATAATTATTGACAAAATTTCTTCATTGCTAACTTACTTCAGCTCGTTTACGATCAATCATGATTTTGAGCGAAGCGTAATTCTTTTCACATAGATACCTATCCAACACTGCACTTTCTGTACTGCTCAAGTTATTTAACAAATGGAAGATCAAATTCGACGAACTGATAATTGTACCGTTGTTCAGCTGTTCCTCCTTCAAAATGTTCTCAACTCCTGAGGCTGTTGCCACTGCAAATGAAGTAACGAAGGATTTAATTTGTACACAGAAATGCCATCTAAGTGTTTAAGTTGTTTGTGGGTATTTTGCTCTTTATTTACTTTCTTTTTATTTGAAAGATTGGCCTTTAATTTTCAGTTTTCTTTTTTTGTGTTGCTTTGCTCATTTTCCTTAAGTCTTGGAATCTAACTATATCATACTTTTCACTTTGTTTTTACTTTCTATTTGGAAGAAATCTGTTGAGCACGGCCATTTTTTGCACTTGATGCTGCAGTTTTAACAAGTATAATAAACTGATTTGAGGAAGTGACGCATATGTCAGAATCTCCCATAAAACTGAGTTTATCTGATGTTATTCGGAAGAGGATACGCCAAATATGTGCTTCCCACTATGACTATTATTTTCATTTCAAATTACGCAGTGCTTCCTTTTCCTTCATTAAAAAGTATAAAATATGCTCTACTGTTTTGAAAAAAAGATATAGTTTGCTGATTTGGAAACAAATACATGTTCCGAAGATTTTCCTAGCTTCTCAAATTTTACCATCCAGTTACTGAAATAGATTACCTACTACTCATTGTAGTGGTTTAATGCTACTCTGGAATGTTCCGCATTTAATTTCCTAGTAATTTTAGATGTTAAGTATGCATTTTCTTATACTTCCTTCTAAGTGCACTTTCACTGCATTCTGGATAAAGAGATTTTTACTGTCAAGCTATTCCACTTAATTTCATTTGTTTAATTGCTGATGATTCGACTGCTTGATCTTTTATGATGAAATTTTTTGGTTTCATGGAGTTTTTGTACATTTATTTTGTTGCATTTTAAATGACACTGCCCTACAACCCTGATAGAATTTCTTGAGAAATATTTAAATTACACACAATAGTATAACATACCCCAGAAATCGATCGTCCAAAAGACGTAGAAAGTGATGATTCTGCTGTTGACTTCCATACAGTGTTAGATGATACTGAAAATTTTCAAAGAGACCGATAAATTCATCCCACCATTTTGACTTATAAAATATTAAAATACTCACTCAACTCTCTCCTGCAGGAGTGAGTGGCGTCTTAGAACCATTGAAACATTGAGTTAATCGATCGACAGATTCATTTTATGCTGTTAAAGATTTAGTGTAGAAATTAAGATATTTCAAATTTTTGAATTTCAAAATGAAGCAGATCAGTAGATGATGGGCTAATATTACAATGTGAAGCCGTAATATTTTTCACTATTTTAATGTTAAAAGTAAAAAACGAAAACTGAAAGAAATTGTGAATGAAAAATTTTTTATGCCGTTAAAGATTTCAAACATTACAAAGAGGACTGAGGTAGAAGAAAATGCTGTTGTAACTTAAACCAAGCGTCTTTTTCACTTCGAGAGTAGCTTAGTAGTAAGATGTTGACTTCTTACTTTCTAAAAGGCGGTTTTCATTTTTTTTTTCTAACTGGACGTACCTGCAAAGTGTATAGCTGCTTGGAGGACTTTTTGCTTTCTTAGAAATAGCAAATCTCAAAGGCGCAAGTAAACATGCTCAGCGAATTCTGGTAAAGAAATATCCACATAGAATGTTTATGTGAATTGTTTTTGAATTATTTTGTCCAAAATTCAAAGAAATTTCCGATTCTGAAAGTAGCTAATCTTTAATAATACACGAGTCATAAGTGACTTAAATGGGAAAGATTGGAGAAATTAGCTATTGAAGAGCGGTTGTAATTACGGTTGGCCGTCACGGCAATTTAATAAGAAAGTGAAATTTTATTGATTTAACGGAGCGAGAACTTATGGAGAAGCTTAATAACATATTATCGACAATCAGCGATTGGAAGTGTACTTTTTTCTATACCTGATATAGTTTTGAAATAACGGAAATTACAGCTTTAGGTGAAAAAAGTTTAGCACCAATAACATTCAGAAAGAAATGAAGGAAGTCGTGAGTTGCGGATAGTTTCTTCTGAAAAAGTTATCTGAGAAGGAAGAAAATCATCATGAGTAGGCTCAACTGTACTGAAAAAGTTAATGTGTATCATAAAAGGTGCTGGTTGCAAAGGTATCGCGAACTACAATGACCTTGGCCTCGTTTTTTTTTTGCTACCACTTATCACCTCAGAGTGATATTGGCAAGTAAATATTTTGATGTCTTATAAAATAATAAGATGGATAGTCATTCGTTCGTGAAAAATACTTAGGATGAATGAAAGCTGTAAATTCCAGTCTGCCCAGAATTATTTCTATTAGATATGGAAAGGTGTGCGTGTATATTATACAGTAAGTTGATAACTACAGCGATGTTCGGGACATTTTATTAAGCCTCTTCTAATCTTCTTCATTTCTAATAAAAAAAAATTGTTTTTTCTATCATGAATGGCGATAGTAAGTGAAAGAATTTATTGATGCGGAGAAGAGAATCTGGAAGAGATTGATAACCTGGTTACATTTTATTGGTTTCTTTTGAGGTCGTAACTGTTTTTGCTAAATTTTCAAGTTTTTCAAATTTTTAAAACTTAATTTCAGCACTTATACCGGCAGTACTAAATTATTCACATATCAGCACTCTATTCGAAAATGATCGACATTTTTCTCATTTGGCCGATTTTGAACGTGAAATGGCTTATCGGACAGAAATGGTTGGTTCTTTCAGATTATTTCTGATAACACTAATAATATGTTGAATAAATAGTTGCTAAATCGTAAACATTAAAAAGTGAAGTGGAACAATCGGAAACAGACATTTCAAAAGGAGAGGTCTGAACAAAACAAACAAAGACTACTCTTAATTTCGAAGTCATTCTAAGCTGGAAAAGTCCAAAAAATCGTAGAATTGATGTTAGAGGAGGTATATAGATGAAGTTCTAAATTAGAAAGTAGATGTAGGAAAAGTGATTAAGTAAAAACAAAGACAAATGTAAGCAATTTAGCGGATACGGAAGTAGTAAATATGATTTAAACGATTTAGTGTATTACTCATTCAATATTTGCTTCTTTGCGGAGCGTGCTGTTATCATTTTGAACGTGCATTTGATGAAATTGCGATTTAGTACTATAAACGATGTAACTCTTTTCAAATTTCAATATTGTCAGTGATAGTTCATAAATAAGTGGGAAGATATACGACTGAATGACAGGAATTGTTTTGATGCTTTGACAAATGAATTTTATATTGAAGAGATGAAATTGGATATATTTTTGGATACAGGTGTCAAACTTAACAGTGGTTGTGTTGATTCACATATTTTATTGAAACAAACGCTGCTGTACATTACGGTTCCAATCATCATTAAGAAAGTCTCTTAGCGTAATAGGAAAAAGTTGGTGAAAATGGAAAGTATAATTTAAAACTAGCAATAGATTAGAATTTTTTTTCGAGATTTCGAGATTTTGTGCGCTTTTTTTGTACTTTTGAAGCCTTGAGTATCTGCTCGTGTTTGTTATTTTCCCAGAACTAGTATTTTAAGACATGTTGCAGTAATCCCATTTCGGAAGTTAGGGAAACTTTTCCATGCATTTAAATTAATCATGCAAACAGTTCAACTAATGCACTTATCAAATTTTTCACTAGAAAAAAAATGAAAGTGCATGAAAGATTAGGAAGGATTACTTATTTGGGAAGAAGTAAGCGGATGAATAAGTAATGCAGGGATGTGAAAAAAACAGATATGTAGGAAAGGATAACTGAAGGAGGGATTGAATTAGTGGTAAATGATAAATTTCTAAATTTCAGTGTTTCATGAACCGTATATTGCGTAATAAAGCTGTTATTTCTGTCAGTGATAATTTTGAGTGGTAGAATGGGATAGTGTTGATTTAGTCATTAGTCTTTGTGAATGTTTCATAACGGAAACAGAATTGCAGAAATATTCATGATACTTCTAATTATTGAGGAACTTTTTGCAGTTTACTTATTAGAAGTGGTTTGAAAATCTTTCATATTAGGTGAAGAAGTAAGACGAGAAAGAAAAAGAGTAAGGACATCTTTGGGAGTAAAAGAGTAGCAATAACAAAGGTAATAACAGTAGTGAAAGACATGTTTGTTTTCGTGTCGAAATAGTAATAGTAGTTTTCATGGTGATGGAATAGAGGGAGGTACTAGTAAAAATGTTTAAAAATAGTATTTCGGAGGGGTTGATGATGGTATACATTAAAGAAATTATCTATCAGAAAGGGTGTTTGATGATAGTCGTGAATGTCGAACAAAGAAAAGAGAAAGCATGTTCCTTCGATAAAATGATAGCTGGTATTGTTGACAGTTATGGTTGTGCGGCATCCAATTGAGTTCTTTTTCCGTGCTGTAACATTGGCAAACCCGCTGCCATCCCAACCTTTACATCTTGCTCTACACTGTTGACACTCTCAAATCTTTAAAAAATAATGTGCAGTCGTGGTACATTATTTAGTGCATTCGCTCCCCTCTACATATCAAACCCAACCTTGCCTGATACATACTCTGGCAATACCAACAGTAAATTGTTTCCTTTCCATTTCTAACTTCATTCTCTCAGCTTATCCATACATTTTCTTTCCCATATTTTCCTGTTGAGCACTGATCGAAATATTGATGATGATGAGAGATAAAATTGTTCTGAAAACGAAGAGATCCTTATCGGAAAGTGTCTACTGTTGTTTTTCCCGTCATCGCAACAACGAATGGAATACGAACAACGATGATTGATGTGTCGCATACTCTTGTTATTTTTCCTAAATTTCTCTCATTTATTGTTTAAAAGTTGAATAAATAGGAGGGTGATTTTAGAGGACTGTTCTATAGGTCATAACCTTGATCAATCCTTGTATTGGAGATTGTTTTAATCATTCTGTTTGGACTTTATGGAGGGTTCAGTTCGTAACTCTGTTTTTATCGATGTAATGTGTTAGAAGAATTAGTGGTTGGAATTCAGATATCGATTGTTTCGAATTCTACACTTGAATGTGCTTGAAAAAAAAGACTTCAAACAGCAACTTTAAACATTTTAAAAGAAGGCTTTCAATAGTAAACAGTAGTTTGATATCAGCTCAGAAGGGATTTTCGTAACAGCGGCATCACACATGAATCGTAATGTGACAAAATTTAGTGATGTTTACTTAGAATATAGTATATTTAAGTAGGTTGAAATTCGAATCAACAGATACGGCTTATTTTGCTTATAGAAGAAAGTACATTATATACATTACTAGTTAGTAATTGTCCGATGATTTACTTGACTTAAAATGGCCGTTTTTGCATTTGTAAATTTGCTGCTATACTAACTGTAAGTTAAAAAAGAATGACATGGTATAGTGCCATTGTGAAATGAAATTTGGCTTCCTAGATGAAATTATTCAATACTGGGTCATCGGCATCACCGGTAAATTAATCAGTGAAAAGGTGAAGACAATGCTAGAAGGATTCAGAAAGGGGTGAATCACTTTTGAAGGAATTTTTCAAAAGGTAAATGGATTTGCAAATGGAATCGAATCTCTGACTGTCTAATGTTGTCCCTTAAATTGAATTTGTGACTATTTAATACATTAAGACACGGACAAACGAGACTGAGATGACTCAAAGTATCTTTTATTTGAAAGGTAGAAAACAGTTATTGCGTATCTGTCACACTAGAACCAAAATAAGAGTCGGAATGAAAATGAAGACTTGGAATAAGATGTCTGATATACTAGTAAAACCAGATGCAAATTTGAATTTGAAATTAAAGCAGCTTAACCAGTTATTTTCCTTTCCCATCTTATGCTTGTTTTACATCAACCTACGAGAGAAAGTTACTTCATGTTCGTTTTCTTTTTCTGTCGTACTCGTATTGACATTGCCACGACGGCCGTTTTTACTATCAGTAATATAAAAAAAAATCGAAGATCTACTAGGGAAATAAGGCACTGTTACGAATAGATTTGCAAAATTGTGAATTATAAATGATAAAGAGGTTTAGGAAGTATGAGCGATAAATTACAACCAACAACAGGAAGTGCATATTTGGAATTGAGAGAAAAATGTTCATTATCTTTAGTTCCAGATTACCATTTATTTTTGTCTTTTGTTTTCCAATTTCGTAATGTTTTCAGTTTTTTCCAAGAAAAAAATGAAAAAGTATTTGGAAAAAATTTTCTGTATATTTGAATTTCTTGTATTTGAATCTGTATAACTGTAGCAGTACTTATTGCAAAGTATGTGATCGTGTTCATTTTGATAAAAATATTTCATTATATCTGAAATTTTGAAAAGGAAATATTGGTAGCCTCCCGTTAATTTTAACTTTCGGAACAGGTTCAGCCTTCCAGTATAACTTTTCATCAAGTACTGCTTCCGTTTCATCCACAGCGGTTGAGTAGAGTGATATGCATATCAAAATAGCAAACGGACACAAAAATATGTTCATAATTGATATAGGTTGTATTAGAAATGAACTCCGTTTTATTAGCAATACGATTTGAAAGTTTTAATTTTATCTCTCATCGAATAATTATTGTACTGTTTGTGATAATGTGAAGGTTACTAGAGAGAAGATTGGTTCATACAAAAACCGTTTCTTATCATCAAGACTACAGGCTATTTGGAATCAACCAAGTAATAGTCTGTCTGTCTAACTCCAGACAGCGGGTAGTCTTGATGATGGATGCGTACAATAAATTCTAGAATCTTTGTTTTTACAGTAAATGAATAAGTCATTGTATCATGACGAGGATTGCGGGAAGTTCCATAACAGATATATAGTAAAGTTGCAGCTGCATGGATATACGTAGTAATGCACTTCGTTTGTAAGCACCATTCACTCCCAGAAGTTTTAGAACATAAAATTGATTCTGCAGAGAGATAGATTACAATAAAGCTCGCTTTTAGTACTAGGGTGGTAAGAAAGGCTGTAACAACTGTACACTGATGCTCTGCCATTTCGTTTACTTTAATCTATTTTAGGGATTATACTATTCATTTTATAAAAAGCTGATCAGTGAACCATCTTTTTTGGAAACGCTGAATCAAATAACGAACGATAACGTAACAGAATATGGTCATACTATTAATACATTGAAGCGTTTCAACCTTTATCCTGAGGTAAATTCAGTTCTTTCAATGTTTTAATGTTCAGTCCGATTTACTACTGTTGGACTACTAGTTGGCGGGATAAAGTGAAGAATATTTGCTTAGGATGATTAGTAAATGGTCAGTTATTAGCAGCAATATTTGCTTGTGCTTATTGGCAGATGATTTACCGAAATTGCTAAATTGAAGTTGAGAAAGAGACACTGGATTCGAATTTGGTGAAGATTTTCGGGAAAATCAAAACTTTCAAGTTGCGAAACATTAATGATGGTTAGACTAATACCGACTTTTTAATTGCCATTTATTACTTTTCAGGTAATTTTAGGTATAGCTTTCAAATTATTCAAGAAAATAGCTAATGAAAATCACTGGGTATTGGAACAATGCTGGCAAGTCAAACGGGGTGACCAGCTGCCACCTGCGATCAGCTGTGAAGGTTAATTTCCTAAAAACATGATTTATTTTTAATGTAATCATTTTATGCTGTCTTTGTTGCCATATTCTTGTCCTAAACATTAGCAGTTTCACAGATTTAAGTAGGAACACGTACAGTAAATAAGCATTGTATATTTACCTTTATTTCGGTTTCTTGATCCAATTAAAACTTCAGGAATCGGTAATGAGCATTATTTTTATATCACCATGGTTTTCGCCTTGGCGAGCACGGTAGCTTCAACGATATTTTTATTTGGAGTTTTGCTCAGGTCAGATTGCCATTACTGTTGGTGAGAGATATAGAAGGATTACCTTTGAGTGTGTGGATATGGAAGTGTCTCGTAGTGAGAAAGAAGGAAGGATAAAAAGATGTGGACCGATTAAGCAAAGATAAAAAATTGATGAGACAACGTAAATATTATTATTAAAGCCGTCAAGACATAAGCAGCACAAATGAACCAAGGAAACAATATATATATATATATATATATATCGAAACGCAACCATCTTGGCAAAATAATTGCATAAAATTTTTCGATACCATGAAATAGAGACAGTATAGCATCTTCCAGTATGTAGAAAGCCATGATGCATCGAGAAGAAAATGAAATCAAGACGGTTAAAAACATAAGATGGAATGTGAGTTGATCTAGGTACCTATTACTATATACATTGAAAGACAGCCGTCACAGAGAAATACTGACGCGAAGTTTTTTTAGACCATAAACACCATATCATTGTCGACAGGATAATTGTGAAGTACCTTTGTTTGACTGCGTATCAATAATATTGACAATGCTACCTAACTTGGAATAAACTAAGTATAATTGATCCAGAAAACCTTGTTTTGGCTGTGAATCAAATGACAGTCGTTATGGTAGTGTCAAATTGGTTACTACATCGATTGCAAATCACGATAGCTAGCTGGAAATAAATCTTTTCTAATATCCTAAGAGTGATGTGATGTTCATAGAACAGTCTCAATATGAATGAATAGTTCTACAGAACCACTACGTAGTTCTAGGCTTTGTTGTGGATTGGTTTGTTGGCTTATATTGAGACTGACAGGATCAATAATGAAGAAGGGTGTAATGATTCCTATATCGTATTCACTAAGGAATCGGTTGAGATATTGATGTGTTTTTTGAAGTTGTCCAAGTGAATATTGACTTCTTTTAGAAATTAGAAACGAAGGGGAGGGATTTGAAACATCCCTCAGTAATCGATCTGGAACCCTTGACACTCATTATTTACTCTTCCGCTGAATAATCGATCTGGAACCCTTGACACTCATTATTTACTCTTCCGCTGAACTCTTCAAGATTAAAAAAGAATTTTCATGAGTTTCTCCAGTCACTTTAAAATAATTGCAAAGATTGAAGGGTGACTTTAAGAACGTGTATTATCATAAGACCTGCACTGCTCCTTCGATTGTGAGTTCTTAAGGATAACATAGTCATTTGCATTTTGTATTCCGGAAGGGTATCCATAATTTGCGAAGCAGTGATCGAATGTAGAGCAGCTTTATCTAACACTCGCCATCGATTTTGAGAAAAATCTTGAAGCAAAAGTATTATCAAGATCGTATAATGAAGTTGTTGATGCTGCAAATCAATAACTTCTTTGTGAAAACCTCAGCATGCATTTTCTTCTGACAGTACAATTTAACCAAGCTACTACTATGAGTATGTTCTTGAGATTTCCTTTCAATGGAACATACTGAGTTGAAAACACCTGATTGTCCAATATTTTATAATGGTTGGATTTAGAAGTTCGTTTGAGATATGAAAAAAGTCCATATAAGGGAAAGGCAAATACAAAAATTTCATGCGGTGACGTAAGCAGCATTGAGCGGAACCATGCATAAGGAAATCTCTGAATTTATGCATACAGCGTACCATCAAAGATTAAATATTAGTGTTTAACTTTTCGAGACTACAGAATGAATTATCAGTAATAGAGGTAATTAGTTTTACTCGATTGCGTAATGTTCTTTGGATACTAGATCTAACTTCACTATGTTTTTGCATGCTCTTTTTTTTTCATTTTCGACATGTATTCGGACCGATATTCAACAATTAAGACAAGCTTTCTCTAACAGTGATTTTTCCGAAAGTAAAAAAAAAGTATCTCAAGGATAATAAATATGTATTTAATTTCAGTGACACTGTATTAGGTGGCATTCTTGCAGTCTGTTGTTTTTTTTTCAATCATGGACAAGCCACGAGAGTACAGTGGACTCCTCCACTTCGCGAATCCTTTGGCTACCCCGTCTTTCTAGCCCAGATACTTGTTATCACTTATGTACTAAGGTAACAATTTGATATTTATAGTAAATTTAACCATATGCTTAAATTCTGCAGTTCGGAGTATATCATTTTAAATGACTGTTGAAATCCTATTACAAATGCGGTGCGTTAAAATGCACATATGGTAAATTACTGGCTGATTTTTAGATATATTAAAAATGGATTCTTGTGGTCTATTCTCATCGCTTATCTCACAACTATATTTATGCTTTTTTGGCAGGTATATGTTACGCTGATATGAAGACGCTTCTAGAAGGTTCTCAGGATTTATGATTTTTGTTTTTTTATTAAACATCTTTAATTATAGTTCTCCGCATTTGCACTCACCACTCAGCTGGGATCAATTTTCGCCACTTTTATCCTTGATTTTGTTCCAGTCAAGACCATGAATACTATTGTATACGGTCATGCGGTATGTTTTATTAAAAGCTATAAATTTCTGCAAAAGTTCTTTGCATTCAAAATTTTCAGTTAGTCTAGTTGGTATTCTTATGCCAGATATGTTTGAATATAGCGACTGATTACAGATTGCATTTTTTACTTCATTTATGCTGCTATTCGGTAATGAAATGCTGCTTACATCATTCTATTTATCCAGCATTATTACCTTGTGGGTAGGTCTCTTCTTTATTTACCGATCATTCATTTCTAAGTGCTAAATTTAAGGAATTTCGGATTTCAAAGTTTCAGTTGTCTTACTCGAAATCGGTTTGAATTTAAAAACCTAAAAATTCACTTGTTTGTTGCAGATCATTTTATCTCTGGATCGCTACTTATATCGTATCATCAATCGGCTATTGTATATAGTTGTGAATAGCACACTGTATATTGCTGGTACTGTAGGTATCAAATTAATTATAAGTCACCTGATGCATGTGGAAGATGATGTAAGTTTCTCTTTTCTTCTTACTTATAATTCTGAACTGCTTTGAAGAAAAAGCCATCTTGAAAAGGTTTTTGAATTCCTATCTGGTGTTAGGTTGTATGGGAAAAAAGAGATTTTTTCATTCTGGATTTGTATAGTTTCAGGCCCATATAATGGATCTTCTTCGTGCCAAATTTACGTCGTTTGCAAATTTTCATACACGTTTATACACATGCGCTAAAGAATTCGACTTTATTGGAAGCGAGGTAAACTATGAAAGTGCAACGATAGATTATCGTAAATGTTTTAATAATGAATGCTTATAATAGCAATTTCGAAACAGGTGGTCAGTTGGAATTTTCTGGAAGGCTTTGTACAACTTTCTGAAATTTATAGATAGCGTAGAAGACTTAGTTTTAGAAAATCATAGCCATATCAAATCAACATTGCCATCTCTGCTTGTCAAATAAGTAAGATGGTATCTCCGGGATGGCTTTGATCATTTCCAAAAAGCGAACATTTGCAGGATCTGACAGATCTTATGAGAACTCTTATGTTGCCAGCTGCAGCTTTATCAGTTTTACTCGTTTTCATGTTTTTTGTGCAGTATGAGCCATTGACGTACCGGGATAAAATTCGAAACAAACCATGTGCGGAGGTACTTCTTTCAGTTAAAAGCGAAATATTCTTCAACGGAAGTCTTAATTCATTCATCTCTAAGATCTTTTCATCATTCAAATTTGGATGACTACATGTCCACTACTACAGCGTATATTAACCTAGAGATTGTTTTACAGTAAGTTCACTTCTGGGTGGTGAAGCGGTGAAGCGTAGAGTCTTTGGTTTTCAAATGACAGACATATGTTGGGAATTCAAGAAGAGGATTTCAAATGTGTCAAAAGTCGTGAAAAACTTTCCTTACTTTGTTCATATTTCAGATCATTTACAATGTTATCCAGTGTATTTGTTTCATCATCATGGCCTGCCTTATCATGCGGTTAAAATTATTCATGACCCCTCATTTATGTATTATTATTACAGTTCTAGTTAATTATGAGGTAGATCTAGTTTTTATAATACTTCCGATGTTATATAAAATCATAAAAATGTTTAGATTGCTTGCTGACTTCAAAACTTTTTCATTTTCGGATAGTCTTTTTTGTATTGATCTTCCCAACGTCAGATTAAACTACGAATGAACCAACTAGTAGGCATAATAGATCATGAAGAGTGCATCTACCTTATAGTCTTAAAGTTATTTCTGTTTTTTGTAATGTTTCAGTTCGTTGTACACGCTGTGCATTTCAATATGTCAGGATGGATGCATCGAATTTTAGTTGTTGTATTATTAGCAGCTATGGCTTATCAGGGAGTAATCAATATTCAAAAACAGTGGGAAATTCAGGGAGAATATAGTAATCCTGACCAAGAAGCACTTTTTGATTGGATATCTCGTAAAACAAAATCAGGTATATATTTTCTGTAGAGGAAATGTTTGAAGTAAGTTTTTTTTTTTTTTGAAATACCCAAAGAATTTTCAGGATCCTCGGTCATGATTTTAATCTAAGATTTTCTATTATTCATCATGTTTTTGTGAGACAACTTGCAGATTCTGTTTTTGCTGGTCCTATGTCAGTTATGGCTAATGTCAAATTGTCTACCGGAAGACCGATCGTGAACCATCCTCATTATGAAGATGCTGGATTGAGGTATTACTTGTTGTTAGAAGTACTGAAGTCTGGGTGGATTTGGTCATGCTTTTGCAGTTAAAGACCTAAACTTTAAGAGAGCTAACCATGATCTTCTCACTCGTTCGAATTTTGTCCTTTTTCTAGCCCTTTAATTTGTAATTTTTTAGAAGTTAGTTCATATAACAAAATTAGGAATTTCTTTGGCTGGTTCTACAGCAAGCAAATTAGAGTTCCTTTCTACGAGAATTCCTTTGCTTTCATATATCGTTTTCATCAATGGGTTTAAATGCAGAAGTGCGTAATACGTACTTTTACATTTTACTTATGTATGAATTTCAAGACACCAAAGAGCTTCTCCCTTTTTTAAAAAAAAAACTAAAAAGGGTAGTTGGTTGTAAAATTGCATAAATGCTGGAATAGTTTTAATAAATTATTTTTACCATAATTTCAAATCTAAATTTTTAGATCTCGGACGCTTAAGGTCTACTCGTTATTTAGCCGGAAACCTTTAAGAGAAGTTTACGATACTTTGAAAGAAATGGGTATCGACTATTACATTTTTCAGCCAAATTGGTGTGATTCACATGTGACAGTGTTAGTTTTCATTTTCTCTTGCATTTCCAAAACAATCTTTAATACTTTATAAATATTGGGATCCGCAGAATAAGTAGATTTTTTACATAGTCGAAGCTTTTTGTAATTGTGAAATGATTCAAGAGTTTGCCAAAATGTAGTTTTACAAGTTTATTTTTCTAATTTAATTCATTTTTATGCTTAATTCTCTTTATACGCTTTTTTTCGATCCCATGCAAACATTCCAGTAGATTGTAAGCTTAGGTGCTTTCACATGAAATAAAAGTAAATGTCATAATAGGATGTGTGAAATCGGTGCAAAATTTCAAGTTTAAAGTGAGTATAAAAAGGAAATTAGAACTTAAATACCGGTATATGATGATTAATAGCAGTATTAGTCGGCTTCATCATGGGAAGTTTTTCCCAATAGTGTTTCGAACATGTGCCGAGAAAGCTAGCGATGTTTTGTATTAATTGCAGGTCGGAATGTAGCTATCGAGCAATATGGGATTTACAAGATCCCACCAATCGGGAGCGTGAATCGTTATGTGATGTAATTTTGGATGTACTGAATGGACGTCGTATTGGAGCCCTTGCACCGTTCAAGATTGTCTATAGTGCTAGGAGCTATGTCATTTTTGAACTTTAAACATTTTTGAATTCGAGCGTTTGTTTGTTCAGTTAGCGTACGGTTTACTACTTACAGCGAATTCAATTCTTCTCTTTTTCTACAATCACTGGATCTTGCTTCTTGAATTCTTTTAAAGCAAATATTGATTTGGTTTATTTATTTATGACTGCATAGTATTTTTCCAATTTGTAATATTAGTCTTTGTTTTGACGTTTTTTTCTCTTCTACTCCTGGATGTTTCAGTCACGAGGATTACTTTTTTTCATAAGTACACTACTGCTGCATTGGTTGTGTCCTTGCTTGGGTGAGTAGTAAATGAGAGCAATTTTGATCAGCTTTGCATAGTGCAAAAATTTATAAATTGCTAGTAGGTAAGGAGATGAAAGACCTTTTTTCGGTGAAGTTAGACATTGACCATTGTTTCGCATAATCTTATCTCTGTTGTTTTTTTTTTTTGAATGGTGAATGTCTTTATACAGGTTGTATTATTCTTCACAGTAGCTACATGGCATTAAATAATTTGTTAGGTCTTCGGAATTAATCAATGCGTTTATTGTATGTGTAGGATATTCATCAATTTGCATATTTTGCTTTTTTTGTTATTAATTTATTTGGCTTTGTTTGTTCGCTTCCTTTTTTGAAATTATTTTGTAAAGTTAGGAAGAAATTCAATTGTTTTCAATCATTTATTGAGTGATGAAATAAAGTAATGAAATAGTATCGGTTACTCCACTCTAGTTCAAACAATGTGTTCAAATAGTAATGAATTGGTAGATTGATTATATGGAATAATTTAAATTACAATTTCTACGAGGTGACCTTCAAGAAAACCTGACCCTAAGATCGAAGCAGGTTTTCTTTTGAACTATAGAATTTAAAAAAGATCTACGGTTTGACTTAGCTGTAGAGCTTCTGTTTACCAAGGGCTGTTGTTGCTGTCGAAACAGGTTCTACATCGCTGAGCAGTATGGTGATTTTGTACCGGCGTGTCATACAGTGGTTGATGGTAATGGATTTTAGCAATTTTCTGAGCATTAGGTTTATTCCGTCTCCTTTGAATACTAATGGTAGTCAGGTAGTTTTTGAAGTTTTCAATAACATGGGAACTATTCCGGCATTTGCAGGTTTGTGCCCATTTTCCCTCTCAAAGGTACTGTTCTCTTGGGCAGGTAATCGTTAAAAGGCTGTTGTTAAAATTCTGCCCCTATGCGCAGATTTCGTCCTTTCAATAGGGAGTTAATATGTTGTTGGCAATCCTTTAAACAAAAGTAATTGCTATTTGCAAGTTAATGAAAAAGCGATTATTCAAATATTAAACCACCAAGCAAAAAGTTATCAGGGATATCGATCCTTGGAGATTTCGGTAATTTCAACGAAAATCACATGGTGACATCGCTTTCGATATTCGATTTAACATGAGATCGAAACCGAAACTGGAAGTGGAATTGAGTTGCTTGATAAGTCTCTCATACACTATCGTCTTGTTCTTCGTATTCTGATTTCTACAGTGGCTAGGAATTACAGAAACTCCAGGAGAGAAGATTTCTAGTAAACAAAACGCAGATTCTTATATATATATATATATATATGTTTTTGTGCATATGGATGGATGATGGAAAATGATTTGATGATATGGAAGACGACGGCATTAACAGGCCGGGAGTTGGAGTCGGAGGAGCACGTGTTGGTATTGCATGATCGAGAAGACCTTGAAAGATTGTCGGTACCTGCCTGGAGAGGGTCAGCTCCTCATCAAGGTCGCGCGAATGATTGCGACAGTATACGGAAGAGGACGACTAGGAGGAGGAGACTGCTCTCGACGCTCATTTCGATATCAAATCATGCACCTCCATTTTCGCTAGAATTTACCTGCAATAGGTGACAATTGCCAACTTGCTCGGGCTTCCACAGTGTTTACTTCAGTACTAAAAATTGATGACCTTCTGACCCGATGACCACAGCGACGGTAACATATCATGAGTTGCCACCCCTTACAAGTTGGGTATCGGATTCTCAACAACAGCAGCAGCGGCAAGAACAACAACAGCAAACCCATAATTCACCTTCTCCAACCTCAATACCACTTACAGCATTTGTGTCCGCGGTACCATTAGGAATCGAACAACAGGATCAGCAACCGCCGCAGGTTCTTACCGATCATCAAAATCCACAACAACATTCATTGGTTACATCAGAAGAAATTTTCTGCACCCAGGTGAATCATTATCGTACAGGTCAGTTTTAGATTTTATGATATTTTCCTAATTCTAGAATTTAAAACCGACTAAGTGATTTTATTGCAGACAGATTTGCATAGTTTTTCTGTCAACAATTTTTTGCACATTTATCGGAATTTACTATTGCAATTTTATATTTTATTTATTGTTAATACAATATCTGTCACTCCAACATTTGCCAACGTATCTTTCAATGTTAATATGACCGTCGGATTATTATTGCTATAGTTTTAATGTTGTGCAAATCCTATCATCTTATAAATTCAGGAATTCTTTACAAAATTTTATTTAGTTACGATATGGCTTCTTCCAAGATGGAAAAGAGGTGAAGGTCAGTTGAAGTGAATAAGTCTGCGGGTGTGTACTGATGATGCGCTGATAATTTATCCATTTTATAGCAACAACAGCAATTAATTTCAGCGTGTTGCAGATGTCGAAATTGATGACAGTTTTTGGGCGGCTACATCCTTCCTCTCAACACCACCACCAAGTGCTGCGGCAGTTCAACGATTTCATCAGATTCATTCTGCTGTCCATGGAAATACTCATTGTACTACGATTGCTTTGCCAATATCAGGAGCACAACAACAACAACAACAACAACAACAGGTATATCTACAGCTTATTTCACTTTTATTGCTGCAGTTATAAAAGATAACGCTCGTTTAGTTATTTCCCGAAAGTTTAGTTTGAAGATCCGATAAAGATTAGGCGGAAACTGGAGGAAAGAACAGATTCATCACATCTCCCTTGTTTATTACACTATTGCAGGAAAGATGATGATTAGAACTTACTTGATATTACCTTACATTTGCATTAACCATGCCAAGTGCCTCTTTCTTAATTCATTCTGCATGAATTCGAAAGCTGCAAGTACCAGTTGGTTATATCCGATTGCTCCTACTTTCTTCCTGCATAGAAAAAAAAACTTAAGATGGTCCTCTGTGTAATATTTATTGCCATACCCTCGACACTTCTACAGTTTAATATGAATACATAATTAATTGTTGTGAGATGGAGCGAGCTGAATTGAAGTGTTCCTTCAGTGGAAATTTATTACTATTGGCCTTGAAATTCTGAAAATATTCATTTATAGTGTCCTCTTTACCCATTCTTTTCAAAACGCTATTTGTTTAAGAAAAGTAAACTTTTTCAAAGCGGCACTTTTATTTCTTAAACTTCTATTTCAAATCGTTTTTCGAAAAAAAAGGAATGCTTCTAAATGTGACTTTGTCATACTTTGTTCCATTTGGAAAAGGATTTGGAATGATGAAAAATGTTTTCATACTTTTAAAGAGTGTGATATTTTAACTAATAAATTCCAAATCTGATTGAGGCTATATGTAAAACAGTTTTGTACTTAATTATTTTTATAATTATTGCGAGGGTGTTTTAGCGTATGCTTTTACAAAGATAGTCTTTTTTTTTTTAGCAAACTCATGGCGAAAATGAATACCGAATTAAGAAAAGGCCTAGTAGTAGCAGTTGTCCAACAGTCCGTTCTCCATCTTTGCCTTCTTCAAGTGGTATGGTTGTACATAGTGTTACCGAAGAGCTTTGCTTAGTTTGCGGTGATAAAGCATCTGGTTACCACTACAACGCCCTCACATGCGAAGGATGCAAAGGTTTTAATCATTGCTTATTTCCTCACCGTTCTTTCTATATGTCTTATCGTTTTTCGGCGACGATACTTTTTGAAGATGAAAATATCTCTGAGATAGAAATTAAGCTGAAAGTGTTTTTAAACGGAATTTAAAATCTCAGGATTTTTTCGACGTTCTGTCACTCGAAAAGCAATTTATCATTGTAAATATGGTGAGTCATGCGATATTGATATGTATATGCGGCGGAAATGTCAACATTGTCGTTTGAAAAAGTGTATGGAAATCGGGATGAGGCCTGAACGTAAGTGTAACCCTTTTTGCAGATTTCCTATATCAATCGATTTTTTAAGGTTTCCACTCATCCATTTTTTTAATTGACCTTCAAAGCCTTCTGTTACATTTATTTAGTTATTATTAGTATGAAGCAAAAAATTGTCTTTTTTGTTTTTAACACCGTAAATAACTGATAACCTAACAAACGATCACTATATAATTGTCTTTGGATCCTTGACTCCCTTTTAGAGGGTCACGTTGCAGGCAGTCGAATACTTCTACTACAATTTGTTCATGGAGCAGGAAATTGAAGTATTAGACTTTCATCCGAAATACTTTACACATTTGCATGTTTTAAGTGAAGATTATACTGCTTTTGGTTACATTTAAGTAATTTGTCACCTATTTTTGTTGTTCTCTTTTCCGACTTACTCACGTATACCCAATTATATTTAACTTGAGATTTACTTCACTGGGAATTTATGACGTTTGAAATTTGTTGTTTATATCATTCTTTCCAAAAATCTCGTATACACTTGAATTGCACTAGATCAGTCAGCTTTTGATCTGCTGTTGCATGTGTTAATTTTTAGTTTGCACCCCACTAGGATCTCAAAAAAATTCAGGATTACGCGCTGACTCGCGAGTGCCTTTAGTTGTGATTCCGGAGGATCAATGCCGAATCAAACGTGAAGCTAAACAGAAATTACGCACGGTATTAGAGCAACATCGCAAAGCGCATTGTGCCAGTCCGCAGCAAGCGGTTAGCTCATCGGAATCATCAGATGATTGTGTAGCATTATCAGTGGAAACAAGAGAATTGATTAATCGAATTGTGACTATTGATCAACAATTCGCCACACCATCCACTGATACACTGATGAAAATTTCGGTAATTTCAGTAGAATTTTTGAAAACATAACTGAAATTGCGCCTTTAGCATTTCAATTTCACAACTCTATGGCGTAACTCCTTTGATTTTTGGATTTCATCCAGTTGAAAAAGTTAAAAAAAAAAGAAAAGTCACGACAAGAGAGAATTTCTAGCAATAATAGTGACAAATTATTCAAAACTGATGAAAAAATGAAGTTGCAATTTGGGGTTAAAGTTACAATGGGAATTTCCAAAAATAAACAAAAAATGATTTTTCTAGGAGCGTAATGAAATGGGGAATTCCTACCAACAGCTTGCTGAATTAACAATTCTAAGCTTACAGTTGATTCACCAATTCACAATGCATTTACCCGGTTTTTGCAAACTTTCCGATGAGGATAAGCGCACTCTACACAAAGTTAGAAGTTTTTTTGATCTTCAGTTAGTGCAGTTTGGAAGTCACACAAGAGCTACTGATTCTCAAAGATTCCAAATATGGAAAATTACTATTCTGTTGGCATGACTGAATTAGTTTCCCAATAAAATTTTTGTTAATGTTTTTTTGAGTTAATGCTTTTTAAGGTTTTGCAAAAACGTTTAGTCCAAATTTTGAATGCCTTCTTTTTTCGATCATTAAAGATGACATAAGAAGTCCCTTTCAACCTTTTTGATGAAAAGATTCATAACGCGAACGGCATTTATAGACTTGCAAGACGGAAGTACTTGTACTGCGTACATCACGTTGTTATGATATGTTTGATGAGAAAATAGTCCTCGGAAATGAAACAAAACAATGGCGCTACGATCGTGAACAATATCGTGAATTCATTGGACCTTTAGCTGATTTGATGTTCGATTTTGCGCATTCTCTGTCCAAAATGCAATTACATCAAGCGGAATATGTTCTGCTCACTGCTATCGCTATTTTTTCGGGTGATTTATTCAAACTTGATCCAATTCGCAACAAATCCTGAGCAACATCTCTAATTTATTGAATCTGCAAATTGCATTTTGATTTTGTTACCGTGTCAAAAGAGAAGGAACCTTCTTTTGTTGTTTTAGAAAACGAGAAGAACTCAAAGTTATAATTAATGATGATTTCTAAATTTTTAAGCAAAACGGATGCAAGTATGTTCTTTGCAAATATGTTCCAGAAAACTGTCATTTCTATAACTCAGGATTTTCACAACTCCTTCGAAAGATATCGGCTAAAATTGAAGATTTCATTTAAACTTTTGATATTTGAGCTTACCTTTCTGTGTATAGAACTTCTCTATTGTATAATTCCAGGGCTGTCTCATAAATGTAACCAAGGACGTGATCTTTTCATAGCTTCAGCTCTAAACTGAACGCTAAACATATTGCAGTTATAATTTTCCGATGAGATAGATTTTGAAGAAAATTCAGTATTTGAAATCTTGGATTGCTGTACCACTTGTTTTCGTTCCATAAATATAAGTATTGTGTAGTACTGGGTAGCGTATGGAAGTCTTTTGTAACAGTGAGAACCTTCAGGAATAGAGATAATTTGGCAGTTACAATGAGTTTACAATTTCTTTCAGATCGACCCGGTTTACTTCAACCGAAATCAGTAGAAGATATTCAGGAGGTTTATACTTCCGCACTACAGTCATATGTTGATGCGCTAAGACCTAAACAGCGGAACATTTTTTCTCGCTTGTTGATGAAACTTACCGATCTTCGAAGCCTTGCTTCTGAACAGGTATCGATATACGATTTCATGTGCTTCTCTGATTCGATGGTGATACCACAGCTAAAAAAAATATCAAAAATGTACAAAAAAAAAAAAGAAAACACATATTTAACATGAGAGGGAAATTTAAATCTTACAGAGTGAAATAATTACGGGAATCAGTTCAACGGGTATCGCTATCACGCCGTCGTCATCATCACAGCAGTCGTATGATGTGAAATTTACGATTACAAAGCCACAACTTCACCACCGCCAGCATCACCAACAGCAACAACAACCACCATATCCTTTATATACGCAGACACATTATCAACCGTCAACCGGTTATCCATAGAACTAAATTGTACATGAACTGTAAAAAATTATGGCGAAAATGCTACACT